TATATATATATATATATATATATATATATATATTACATATTATATTTACATTTATTTTTTTATTTAATAAGTGTAAATTAAAATATGGTGTCTATATTGACACAAATATTCATTTTAAATTATAATAAAAACATATATACATAATTTTTTATTTATTATGTAATGCAATTTATATTAATATAAATTAGACATTTACTCTTTTTAAATAATGAATAAATGTTTATGTATAAATGTATTTTATTCAAATTATAAATACATATTTGTTAATAAACCACAGTATTTGATTGATATTAATATAAATGTCAATTGCATTTATTAAATAAGTAATAATTTATTAATATGAATTACGTTTTTTAAATAATAAATATTTATGTATAAATGTGTTTTATTATAATTGTAAATACATGTGTGTTAATACAGCATATTATTATATATTAATATAATGTACATTTATTTAATAATAAGCAATTATTTGTGTGAATGTGTATTTTATTATAAGTATAAATATTTGTGTTAATATATACCCCATGTTAATATATTAACATAAATTACATTAATACATTTTAATGTATTTTATTGTAATTATAAAGACATATTTGTGTTAATATATACCACATATTGATATATTAACATAAATTGTTTAATTAATAGATATTTATGTATAAATGAATTTTTGTGTTAATACACCATATGATTTTAAATTAATATAATGTACATTTATTTCATAATAATCAATTATTTATGCAAATATGTATTTTATTATAATTATAAAAATATTATTTATTAAAAAAATAAACAATCATTTATTTATATATATATATATGTATTTTTTTTATTATGATTAGAAATACATATTTGTGTTACTATATACACCACATTTATATATTAATATAAATTACATTAATTAAATAAGTATATATATATATATATATATGTTATAGCAGTCTAACAGGCCTTGCTAGAATCTGAAGCTCTTTAATATCAAGCATGTGTTATGTTTCCAGGTTAATGTTCTGTAGATGTTCTTCT